TTTTAACACACCACTCTCCCCACTAGATAGATCAACTCGGCAAAAACTCAACAGAGAAACCGCAGATCTAAACAGCTGCATAGATCAACTAGATTTAACAGACATCTACCAAACATTTCACCCAGCAGCATCAGAATACACGTTTTTCTCAGCAGCACATGGAACGTTTTCTAAAATAGACCACATTTTAGGCCACAAAGCAAACTTGTCTAAATTCAGAAACATTGAAGTTATACCTTGCATTCTCTCTGACCACAAGGGAATAAAATTAGAACTCAACACCAAAAGCCACCAAAGAAAGTCCGGTATCACATGGAGGCTGAACAACATACTGCTGAATCAAGAGTGGGTCATGGAAGAGATTAGAAAGGAAATTCAAATGTTCATGCTATTCAACAAAAATGAACACACAAATTACCAGCTCCTCTGGGACACAGCAAAGGCAGTACTCAGAGGCAAGTTTATAGCTCTGAGCTCCTACATCAACAAATTGGAGAGATCTGAAACTAGCAATTTAATGACACATCTAAACCTCCTTGAAAAAGAGCAGCAACATAAACCCCAATCCAGTAGATGGAAAGAAATAATCAAAATTAAATCAGAATTAAATGAATTAGAATCCAAAAAAACTATAGAAAGAATCAACAAAACAAAGAGTTGGTTCTTCGAAAAACTTAACAGAATTGACAGACCCTTAGCAAATCTTATCAGAAAAAGAAGAGAAAACACCCAAATTAATAAACTCAGAGATGAGAATGGAAACATCACCACGGAAACAACCAAGATTCAGAACATTATAAGGGAATACTTCTCAAAACTTTATGCTAATAAGTTTGAGAACTTGACAGAAATGGACCTCTTCCTAGCAAATATTGACATGCCAAAACTAAACCAAGATGAGTTAAACCAGCTTCACAGGCCCATATCAAGCATTGAAATAGAAACAGCAATAAGAGACCTCCCAGCTAAGAAAAGTCCAGGACCAGATGGTTTTACAGCGGAATTTTACAAGGCCTTCAAAGCAGAGCTCACACCAATACTCCTCCAACTCTTCAATGAAATTGAAAGAGAAAGCTCACTACTGAACACATTCTATGAAGCCATCATAACCCTCATCCCAAAACCAAGCAGGGACTCATCAAAGAAAGAGAACTATAGACCCATTTCTTTGATGAACATTGATGCAAAACTTCTCAACAAAATTTTGGCCAATCGATTTCAACAATTCATCCAAAAAATTATACACCACGATCAAACAGGATTCATTTCAGGGATGCAAAGCTGGTTCAATATACGCAAATCAATTAATATTATTCATCACATCAACAGGAGCAAGAATAAGAACCACATGGTTATCTCAATAGATGCAGAAAAAGCATTCGACAAGATCCAACACCCCTTTATGATGAAGGTTTTGGAAAAATTAGGAATCCATGGAACATTCCTCAATACAATAAAGGCTGTATATGACAAACCTACAGCCAGCATTATACTCAATGGTGAAAAACTAAAGCCATTTCCTCTTAACTCAGGAACAAGACAAGGATGCCCACTCTCTCCACTTCTCTTCAATCTAGTATTAGAATGCCTAGCTACAGCAATAAGACAAGATGCAGACATAAAGGGGATCCAAATAGGGAAAGAAGAAATAAAACTCTCCCTCTTTGCAGATGACATGATCTTGTATTTAAAGAATCCCATAGACTCCACTCCCAAATTACTCAAGCTGATTCAAAACTTTGGCAAAGTAGCAGGTTATAAAATTAACCCCCAAAAAGCAATGGCTTTTCTGTATGCCAACAATGAGAAAAGTGTGGCTGAAATTAGGAAAGCAACTCCATTTGTAATAGCCCCACAAAAAATAAAATACCTAGGAATTAACTTAACTAAAGAAGTGAAGGACCTCTATGATGAAAACTTTAAAATCTTGAAAAAGGAAATCAACACAGAACTTAAAAAATGGCAAAACCTCCCATGCTCCTGGATTGGAAAGATTAACATCGTGAAAATGGCAATACTTCCCAAGGCTATCTACAAATTCAACGCAATACCTATCAAAATTCCACCCTCATTCTTCAAGGAAATAGAAGAGGCAATCCAAAAATTCATATGGAACAATAAAAGACCCCGAATAGCAAAAACGCTCCTCAACGGAAAGAACACTGCTGGAGGAATATCAATACCAAACTTCAAACTCTACTATAAAGCCATAGTAATCAATAAGCTTGGAACTGGTACAAGAACAGACCTCAGGACCAATGGAATAGAATTGAAAACCCAGAAATGAACCTACAGACCTATAGCCATCTAATCTTCAATAAGGGAGCTAAAACAATAGAATGGAAGAAAGACAACCTCTTCAGTAAATGGTGCTGGCAAAATTGGTTAACTACATGTAGAAAACTTAAGCTAGATCCTTATATATCACCCTGCACCAGAATCAACTCCAAATGGATCAAAGACCTTGAACTCAAAGCAGACACTCTGAAAACATTACAGGATGGAATAGGAGAAACCCTGGGTCTCCTTGGCTCAGGCCGAAATTTTCTGAATAGAGACCCGGAAACACAACAAATCAAAGAAAGGTTGGACAAATGGGATTGCATAAAGTTGCAGAACTTCTGCAGGGCAAATGACATAGCTAGCAAGATCAATAGAAAGCCCATGGATTGGGAGAAGATCTTTACTAGCCATACAACGGACAAGGGTCTCATATCTAAAATATACTTGGAACTCAAAAAATTAAACCCCCCAACAACAAATCCTCAAAGAAACAACTGCCCAGTAAATAAGTGGGCGAAAGACTTAAAGAGAAACTTCTCTGAAGAAGAAAGAAGGATGGCCAATAGACACATGAAGAAATGTTCAACATCCCTAGCCATAAAAGAAATGCAAATCAAAACAACATTGAGATATCACCTCACTCCAGTTAGAACGGCAAAAATCAAGAACTCTAACAACAACAGATGCTGGAGGGGATGTGGACAGAAAGGAACCTTACTTCATTGTTGGTGGGAATGTAAACTTGTTCAACCACTTTGGAAAGCAGTATGGAGGTTCCTCAAAAGACTTCACATAGAACTCCCCTATGACCCAGCAATCCCACTTTTGGGCATTTACCCTAATGTTTACAAATAAGACCACACTAAAGCTACCAGCACAACTATGTTTATTGCAGCATTATTTACCATAGCTAAGATATGGAACCAACCCAGATGCCCCTCAGTAGATGAATGGATCAAGAAAATGTGGTATATATACACAATGGAATTCTATGCCTCCATCAGAAAGAATGACATTGCCCCATTTGTTAGGAAATGGAAAAACTTGGAAAAAATTATATTAAGTGAAGTAAGCCAGGCCCAAAGAAACGTAGGTCCCATGGTTTCTCTTATTTGTAATATCTAGTATATGTATGAGTCAAGTGGAAAAGGTCAGATAATGTGATGTCAGGAAAATGAACCCTTAGATGTGTATTTTAATGTTTTTTTCTTTCATGCATGTGTTTCTAACACATTTATAAGATTATCTCTTTGTTGCTTTGTATGTCCCTCCCCCACAGTATAACCCCTGCTTTCACTATATTTGATGTCAGTATAACTTGTGGAGGAGATGGGGAAAAACCAGTTGTTTAAGGATACAGGTGGACCTGTTGCAACAATGAGAAGTACAAGTTGTCATGTCCAAAACGAGCTCTACAACGTTGGTGCGGGGGTGGGGGTGGGAGGGGGAAGGAGAAGGATTGGGATTGGGGGGGAGGGGGGAGGCTGGGAAGGGAAGTGAAGGGTAAACAAAGGAGGAGGCTGCAATGCTTGGTAAGAAATGTACACATTTCTGTGTACATTTACCCTAATGTTTACAAACAAGACCTGCCCATGTAACTAACTCCTCTGTACAGTATGTTCACAAATAAAATTAAATTAAATTTAAAAAAAAAGAAAACTAACAATGGCAAATGCTGGGGGCCATATGGCCAGAAGGCACTCCAGTAACTATTGGTGGAAATGTAAACTTGTTCTATAACTCTGTAAAGCAGTATAGGTTTCTCAGAAGATGAAACATAGAGATTCCTATTATCCAGCAATTCCACTGATGAACATTTATCCAATAGAACACATTTCGTTGTTCCATTCTTCCACGGAGAGACATCTCAATTGATTCAGTGTCTTGGCAATGGTAAACAGGGTTCCAATGAGCATAGTAGTGCTGGTGACTTTAGTGTGGCATTTTTGTGTGTGTGTGTTCTATGTTTAAATGTCCAGCAGTGGATATCATTTCTCCTTATGCAGCACCTGGAAAGCTTATTTTACAAAAGAGTACTATTTGGGTTTTTGTTTGTTCTATAACATGGTCTAGGATAAATTCTTTAAAACCACTGGTTTCGTTTCCTGGGGAGGAGAACAAATAGGTCGACTAGATAGAGCTGGGAATTTCTGTAGTGATCACCTCACGGACAGGCCTGTGGGTTCTGCTTAGCCTGCTATGCATATAAACCATTGTAGCAATCCATTCTGGTCTCCACTCTGAAGGTTACGCGGACAGTTCAGAGGAATGAGTTGGGCTGCGTAGCATGAAGCAGTCTGGATTTGGGTTATTAAGTGTTTCCAGATTTACTGGTATCCTAATAACTGAGTTATTGCAAACATTTTGAGCTATGTAATAGTCCTATGTAAAGTAGACATTTCTTTTCATGTTCAGAGTTTACAACAACAGTATGTATAAAAAATTCAGCTTACAGTTCTGTTCAATCATTTATTATGTACTTGCCAATAGTACTTCCATACTTGTTCACCCTTTATTCCACTTTTTCTGTACCCCCCTTTACCCTTCCAAAGATGATTATTAGTACTATTAATACTTACCTATCTCATGAAACTTGGTACTGCATGTTAGAGTCATTGCCCATTATTCTGTATCTCTTCTTCATTCCTAGACATTGCATAACTAATGGCACATTCCAATTAAACTTTATAATGAACATGTACTACAAAAGAACTGTCATACTTACCTGGCAGAGGAAACACACAATCAGCAGGTAGTTTTCTCAGGATGAGGCGTGCACATTGCACTTGGGGTAAGCTGACTCTTGTGATTTTCTTAAATAGGGGAAACTTGGCTGCATGATTTTTGATAGTGGGGGACTGTGTGTGCACTCTCCCCTGGCAAAAAGTGAATAGCAGCCGGGTGCCAGTCGCTCACGCATGTAACCCTAGCTACTCAAGAGGCTGAGATCTGAGAATGGAGGTTCAAAGCCAGCCCAGGCAGGAAAGTCCATGAGACTCTTATCTCCAATTAACCACCAGAAAACTGGAAGTGGCACTGTGGCTCAAGTGGTAGAGCGCTTGCCTTAAGCTGAAGAGCTCAGGGACAGCACTCAGGCCCAGAGTTCAAGCCCCATGACCGCCGCCACCACCACCATCACCATTACTACCAATAATAAAAAATTGTCAGAGCTGGGTGCTGATGCTCACACCTGTAATCATAGCTACTCTTATGAGGCTGAGATCTGAGGATCGCAGTTGATCTGAGGATCGCCTGAACAGGAAAGTGTGAGACCTCTATCTCTAATTATTCACCAGAAAACCAGAAGGAGAGCTGTGGCTCAAAGAGGTAGAGCACTAGCCTTGAGCAAAAGAGCTCAGGAACAGTGTTCAGGCCTTGAGTTCACACCCCACAACTAACCTAAAAAAAAAAGGAAAAAAAGATTTGTCAGTTCTAATTACCTATGTTCTTTGTACTCCAAGGAAAACTCAAGTATGACAACTTTCAAAAACTATCGTACTATCCTCATCTTACCACCTTTCTCCAGTGTATATTCTATAGACCCATGCCTTACATTTAAACATATAAAATAGTTTCCATAATTAATTGATTAAAATCACAGAAGTGACCACTTCACACATTCCTCTTCTCCACAGTTTTATGTATAGGTCACAAGACATGCACTATACACACAGAATGTTACTCTGTTGTTTTAATGAAAATATAAATACTTCTGTAATTTGAACTCAGAATAACAGTATCAGCTGTTTTTATTAAAAATCTTTGTGAAATTAAGTGTCATGTGCTATTTAAGTAATATTTTTTCTTTATAGTTCCTTCAAGACCTTATAGATTTTTCAAAGAGAAAACAATGGAAAATATATTATGTGGCCAAAATATAGACTAGCCTCCAGCAAGAACAAAAGGTTCAAATCCAGACTGCCTTGGCGTCCATCAGCTGGTGACAGACAGAAGACCAGGAGATACGTGCCCCGGGTGTTATATAAATACATTAGTCCTGACAACTATGCCAAGCCTAACATTGCTGAAATTCAAGTGAATTCAAGGACCGGCCACACATATGTGGGTTGTTCCCTCATCTTGTAAAAAGAGGCATGGGAAAAGTTTGTCTTTCTGAAAATATCAAAAATAGCTAGAAAAGAAGTGTTTCTTTGGTTCTTTTATAGGCTGAGAAGAATGATCTTAGACTTGCTTCTTCTTATCACTGATATGTTAGGGAAATACTGTATTGAGCTGGACTGAAAATCCTTTCTAGAGATTTTCCCCATTAATGATCAAACACTAGTTTTGCTCAAATGCAAGATCTCCACATTTAGGTAGGACTGTTTTCTCAGACTTAAGATCAACTTCATGCACTTCATTTCAGTGATATAGGAAAAGGTATATTTTATGGAAATATTCTTTCTCTGGAAACAAGAACCCAGAGAATTGGGAAACTGTAATTTCATTTAAGAAACTAACTTATCCAATATACGTGTGTGTATATGTATGTATACATATATGTATATGTATGTATATGTGTATATGTGTGTGTACACACACACACACATACACACACACACATACACGCACACAGGTTTACCAATTAGGGAACTTTGGTTCTGAAAGTTGCAGTAATTGATCCAAGGCCCTATGGCTTCTAATCGTGATATTGAATAAAAATTTAGGGCTTTTGATTCGGAGGCAACATTCCTTCCTCTTAAAGGATGTACTGTTTATGAACTTACAATTTTAATGTAGTACTATATCTTTTAAGAAATAATACAAAGAGGTCTTATTATCACCTGCCCATTTTTTCTCTAGTACTAACAATATATGAAACCAACCAGAATACTGAAAATCATGTTTTCAGCCCAGCATGGATTCTTCATATTGCCTTTTTATACTAAACCTTTCCTCCTTCTTAATTTCAGACAAACAATTACTTTATTCCTTATTTCTACTGTTTTGTCATTTCAAGAATGTTATATGACTGGAAGAATACAGAATACAAATGGAATCATACAGCATATAAATCATACAGTATATACTCATACACTATAAAAACTGTGTGTGTGTGTGTGTGTGTGTGTGTGTGTGTGTGTGTGTGTGTGTTTTGTCAGTTGTGAGACTTGAACTCTGGGCCTGGGTGCTGTCCCTGAGCTCTTCAGCTCAAGGCTAGTGCTCTACCACTTGAGCCAAAGCACCACTTCTGGTTTTCTGGTGGTTAATTGGAGATAAGAGTCTCACGGACTTTCCTGCCCAGGCTGACTTTGAACAGCGATCCTCAGCCCCCTGAGTAGCTAGGATTGCAGGACTGAGCCGTGTGTGTGTTATGCAGTATAATTCTCTGGAGATTTATCATGTGCACCTTTTTTCCAATACTGAGTAATTTATGCTGTAGTTGTACTTTAATTCATTAACTTGTCCTGTTAGAAGACAGCCAGGTTGTTTACAGTTTTCACTTTATACAAATAAGCTATCTGCAAATACACATGCAAAAAGTGTTTGTATGAACATAAGCTTTATTTCCCAAAATGCAATTGCTATGTCATATGGGAATTGTAGTTTCAAAAGAAACTGTCAGGGTGTTTTTCATACTGGATGAATCATTTTATATTTCTGTTAGCAATCTAGGAGTGTACTGCTTCCTCCACATTCTTCATAGTCTCTAATCTTTTATTTAAGCAATTCTACTGTGCATGTAGCGACATCTCCATGTATTTTAACATGTAATTTCCTTAATGACTAACATGTTGAGTTTTCTAATGTGATTATTTTCCATCTTTACATCTTCAGTGAATTTATTACCATCGTTTTTATTTACCTAGACTCTATTTGAAACATAGTCATTACTTATCATTCATAGGAAAGAACCTCAAAATTCACAGATGTTCAAATTTTGTATATACAGTTAGATATCAAAATTCACAAATGTTCAAACCTCATATATAATATGACATTGTACAGTATTAACATACACAATTGCTCTCTGGACTTTAATTACCTCTGGAATCTGCATGAGAAGACTATGAGACTAGTTGTAGTGTGTTGCTTAGGGAATGACAAGAAATTTGCATAGAAGCAACCTTTTTTGTTAGTATTTTTTATTGTTATTATGAAGTTGACATATGGAGAGGTTACAGCTACATAAGTCACTTAGTAATGAGTACATTTCTTCTTGGACTACGTCACCCCTTCTCTTGCTTTCTCCCAGTTTTATCCTCCCATGTCCACCCACAAGTTGTACAGTCATTTTCAACATAGTATCTAATGAGTACCATTGCTGCATTTTTCACCCTTTGTTCTTTTATTTCTGTGTCCCCCTTACCCTCCCAAAGACAGATAAATGAACCAACAAGACAAAAAAGGAAAACAAAAACAACAGAGGGAAAAAAACCTTGCTTCCATTTTCTGGAGAAACAACTTTTGTTGAGTAATTTTCACATGAACTTGAATGTATAAAGTGCAAACTTGTAGATATGGGTCATACTATTTTTTCTATTGACTTTTGGGAGACCCTTATGTTAAAGATGTTAACTAGGTATATGGTTTAGAACTGTTTTCCCAGTTTATAATTTATATTTTCATCTTCTTTTTCCTAATTTATTGGTTTATATTTTTCTCTTTATTACTGTATATTAATTTTATGAAGAACTTTATTGTGATGTTTCTAAACATGCATAATGTAATTGATCATATTCATTTATTGGTCATTGTTATCCCTTCTACTTCCTTTTAAGTAAGTTAGTGATACATTGTTCCAGTTTCACATGTGTTTATGAAATGCTTCCATTGTATTCATTCTTTTCTCCCTTTCCTTTCTCTCTCTCTTGCTAGTTCAAATCTGCAAACAGTCCCTCCCCCTGTATACTCATATCATTCACTTGGTTTTTAGGTTTGGAATCTACCTAAGAGAGAAAACATATGTAATTTGTTTCTTGGTGGGCCTTATATTTCATGATTTCACTTAATATGACCCCTGTATTTTCTTGCAAATGACAGTTTATTTTCATACTTTATTTATAGTTGAATAGGTATCTATCATCTATCTACCTACCTATCTTTCTAATCTATCTACCTATCTATCTATCTAATCTATCTATCTATCTATCTATTTATCTATCATCTATCATCTATCTAATCATCAAATTTCTTTATCCATTTATCTGTTGATGGATACCTGAGCTGAATAAAAAGTTTGTCTAAGTAATGCTGCTATAAACATGGGTGTGCCAGTGTCTCTATTATATACTGACTTACATTCCCTTGGATGAGTGCCTGGGAATAGAAGAGCAGGGCATATAGTACTTTTTTTAGTAAGACTTTTATTGTGAAAATACTGTACAGAGGGGTTACAGTTACATGAGCAAGATAATGAGTACTTTTCGTATCAGGCATTGTTGCCTCCTTTGTTTTTCCTCTACCATCCCTTCCCTCCCATGTCCACTATAGTACTTTTATTTATAGTTTTTATTTTTGAGGAATACTGATTTCCAGAGGGGCTACACGAATTAAGATTCTCACCAATTGGTTAGAAGCATTTCTTTTCCCTTAAATCTGCTTTATAGATCTTTCATGAGCAAAAACTTTTAACTTTAGTGAGATACAACTTATCATTCCTTTTTTTTTAATTGTGAAAATATGTACAGAGGGGTTACAATTACATGGGCAAGGTAATGAGTACATTTCTTATCAAGCATTGTTGTCTCCTCCTTTGTTTCCCCTTCCCTTCCCTTCCCATCTCCCTTATCATTCCTTAGTTATCATTTTGGTGTCAAGCCTAAGAACTTGTTGTCTAGGTTTAATGTAGTTCATGCCTGTAATCCTAGTTACTTAGGAGGCTGAGATCTGAGGAATGGAGTTCAAAGAAAAAGAAAGAAATAAAGAAAGAGAAAGA